AGAGAGAGAGAGAGGCACATAGACAAGAGAGAGAAGGAGAGAGAGATCTCATGTGTAGAGAACTGGGGCGAGGGGTGTTATAGGCCGTAGGGGCCCTAGGGTGTTCCAAATCATATTAGAATTCAGCATTACCCAAAACATTTAGGTAATTTGTGAGGTGAGATAGAGAAAACATCTGAGCTATCCATCTTTAAAATCAATCATCATGATTTAGGGAAGATATTTAGGAACCTTATCCCTTGGGATTTGACCTAAACTATTTGGACTTTTGACCAGTTAAAACTAATCTCTTAGGGTTATCGAGATTTCCTTTTCTCTCACAAAGGGAAAATTGGGAATTCAAAATAAAAAAATTTGTTTAAAATATCTAGACAACAAAACAAAAAAATCAATGAAATAATTTTCTCAAAATTATCTATGGATAATCTTTCAACCTTCATATATTTTTTGTAAAACAAATAACACCACACATGTTTCCCAATTTGATGGGAAACCTTGTGCATTCCACTATGGTGTGTGGCCCATGTGGGCTCCATGTCCCACACTGTGTGGGCCCCACACGTGTGGGGGCGGGGTCTTTAGTCATCCCCACTTGGGTCCCGCCTAATTAAAAAAAATATTTTGAAAACAACCCCTTGTACAAAATTAAAAGAATACCCTTTTGGGGTTTTTTATGCCATCTAAAAATCATTTTAAAATTATGGAAGTATCCAAACATCCCAGAAACAAAATTAGTTGAAAACAATACTTCTGGTGTTCTAAAAATATAATATCACAGAAAAACACCTTTACAAGTGGATTGGTGCCATATAGGTCAGAATTAAGTGATTGACAGTGCACTCCACTCCCATGCCAGGATCCATGTTCCTCGACTACCTTCTCAATCTAACCCAATGGGACCCGTGTCCTACAGTCATGTACACGGGCTTATGATTGGCCCTTCTATGCTTGGTAATAAGTAGTAGAACCATAGTCTTAGTATGTGGATTATAGGTTTCCCCTTTAAGAGCATGTCTGATGCATACGTCACCATAGAGTAAGGGGCTCTCTATGCACATGGACACTATCCCTCTATAGGGTTGCTACCCAAAAAAATGTGGTTGTCATATGTGCATTCCGTGGGAGTTTTGTTGTGGATTTGTTCCTCGCTCGCACAAGCCTACGTCCGCACACTACAAACAACGACCCTGGGCATCTTTTCAGCCTCAAGATGGGATGACCTCTATAAACCCTCAATAGTAGTGCCTCTGCCCAAGGGAAGGGGCTTTAAACATAACCCTGGCCATAGATCGCCAAACTCTTCACAATCACACATCGTACACCCATTGAACTGCACAATCTACTATAATTTATTATTTTTACATTCTCCTCTCATGGCCTTTAAATGCCACAAACCCCAACTTTCTAGGTAATCTATGAGTTGAGAGTAGTAAATTTGAGCCATCAGTTCTTTAGATCAGCCATCATGATCTAAGCGGAATCCTAGAATCGTTATTCTTTAGATCCTTGACTCACATCCACTTCTTCTTGGACTAGAATTATATCTTCCATTGTCTCACATAGTTAGGACTTTTCTCATAGAAATGCTTCTAATTTCATTAAAAATTCAAAGTCAGGTCTAATTCTTATTGATTATCTTGTAACCAACTAAATCCTTTATTAAATAGTTTTTTAAGAATATAACCCTTAACAAAACAAAATGAGACATGGGGTGTCCCTCTTCAATGGGTTGGACATGTGGGCCTAGGAGGGCCCACATCTACCCCCATGCGGGTCCCTCAATGTGTGAGGCTGGGTCCTTGGCTCCCCATGTGGGTCCCACAAAGCCCCTCACAAGTTTCAAAATAGCAGGAGTACCCTTTTAGGGGATTATGGGTTCCCCCCTTAGAGAAGGTCAAATCATTAGTGTGTGGATTACAATTTCACGTCCCCCTTAAGAGCAAGTCATATCGATAAGGATGCCACACGTACTTATAACGGTAGTGCAAGGGGGACACTCTTATATACATGTACACGGTTTCCTCTCTATAGGGCTGCTTCCCAAAATGCAACTATCCTTTGTACATATTATGTGGTGGTTGTTGAGGATTTGGCCCTTACTCTTATAGGCCCACAGCCGCAAACATGAATCCCTACATCTTGTTGGTTCTTGTCATCATTCCTGAGCATCTCTCTGACCTTAACAAAGGATGACCCACTAAAACCCTCAATGGTAGTGCCTTTGCCCAAAGGTCTAGGTTTTGGACATGGACCTTGGGCCATAGACTACCCAACCTCAAGATCAATCAACCAACACTCTTGCTGGAATGTGAACATCCACTATCTCAAGATCAGTCAACTAACACTCTTAGGGATCTTCAATGGATCTCAGCCCTCTATTACGAATTTCGATCCCCACCTTAAAGACCATGATAATGACCAAAATTATGATTTCCAAGGTAGCTAGCAATGAAACTATACTTTTAATACAATCACATTCCATGCTGGCTATGAACAAAGAGATCCCTATTTTAAAGAGTATGTATAGTCAATGACTACTCTTCCAGCTTAGGAGCAAGATCCCCAAAAAGTTGGAATCAAGATCCCAAAAGGTCAGGATCAATATCCTCAAAAGGTTGGGATCAAGATCCTTAATATTTAGTGATCTTCATCCCTAGCAAATCCATTATGTGGAAATCGCTCCTAATCATAGGGATCTTTTAGCCTTTCACGACCCTACCTCTCCTGATCCCAACAAGTATGACCTAATATATGTAATGAGGAGTTAGATGAATAACTAGGGTCATGAGGTTATTTGAGTAGAGAGGTGAATGACTGGAAATAATTGTCGTAGAGGACCTGTTCAAAGAGAGAAACTTGGAAATATACAATTTATAAGATTTGGAATCATAACAACGATGACCCTTTTGAGTAGAGCCTTAAACCCATGAAAACACATATAACAAAATTAGTACGGAGTTTATTCTTTTGAAAACTACTCATTATGGCAAAGCAAGTACATTAAAAAACATGCGGCATAGAATAGCCTGTTTCCGAAATACGTAGACTTCCAACAGCAAAGACATCGACAAGAGCTCCAATTGGATATCTGTTGATAAGATGAACAACAAATATAACAATTGCTGCCTGCAAGTCTCCAGGAATTCTGAATGATAGAAGTAATGCACGGATTACTGTTAATTCCAACATTCTGCAACGCCATTTTCTTATGGGCTCCGTGAACGCGTGTTGGTGGGTGATACCATTATAGCTTAAAATAAACTTAAAAGTTTTTGAAGTTATCTACTGCCAGTGTCAGTTCTTAGAATTTTAATGTTCTGACGTCACCAAAGCTATGGTCGATTTCATCCTAAACTAGAGAATACTTATAGCAATCAATGTGACATTCATTGTTCTTCTTCCTAAAAGGGAGAGAGCAGTGGCCCGAAGCATTTTATACCGACAATCCTTTGGAATGATTCACATAAGGATTGAATTAGTTTGTGGAAAGTAATAAACAGTCCAAATTTATTTATCAGAAAGTATGCCGAGCACATCATAGAGGTTTCATGCATAAAGTATACTGGTATAAAGAAAATCGTTGTTACTGCTTGTTCTGTGAAACTGTCACTTGTGAAATATTTTAGTTATTTCATCATGGCTTAACATCTCAAGTTTGTGGCAGAAATTGTTATGAGCATGACAAACATCATTGGAGTAAAAATAGCATATGTTCAAGAGCATCATTTATATGTCTGATATAAACTGCAATATGGTTTCTTGGTACCAGATATCACCTCTGATTCGTCCAACAAAGATTATTATGGACATGACAATTGGCAACTATGAATGGCATGAGTTTTTTCCAAATGGTATGAATTCATTATCTATGACTTGTTCTTGTAGTTCTCCTTGTGATTAAGATATATTAATTTTATATTTAATATGGTGCAGTCAAGTATAATATTGGTGTTGTTATATCAATATGGGCTCCAATTGTACTGGTAAGAAAATCCAAGTATTATGTTATATGGCCCATACATGTAATCCTCCTAATGATATATTTCATTTGTTTACCTATATCACTTTGTGCACACAGGTATACTTCATGGATGTACAGATCTGGTATGCAATTTTCTCGACTCTAGTTGGAGGCGTTGTCGGAGCCTTTAGCCGCTTGGGAGAGGTCAGTACTGGTTTTTTCTTGAAACCTGAGTAATAAGTGACTAAATTACTATCAAAATTTGCTATGTCTTTTCTTGCCCATTGATGGTCACTGAGGGCCGAATTTTCTCTCCCTCCTCTCTCTCTCCATTTTTAATTCTAAGTATTACTTTTGGATTAGAGACATTTTGCAGAAGAAATTTGCTGAAGAACTTCATTTTTTATGAATAATAGTCATTTACTATTTTTATTATTGCTACTATTACTCCTACTAGTACTAATACTACAACAACAACAACTATTGTTGTTGTTATTATTATTATTATTGTTATTATTATTATTATTATTGTTATTATTATTATTATTATTATTATTTTTTTTCTGATACTGTTAAAATTATTATTATTTTGTTGTTGTTGTTGTTTGGTAATTTTATCATTTGGTATTATTATTACTACTATTATTTGTCGTTATTATAATTTGGTAATGTAGTAATATTACAAGAATCCAGACCTCCATTTGTATAATCAGTCCAACTTTGTTTTTCTTGCTCTCCTCCAGATACGGACCCTTGGGATGCTAAGGTCGCGATTTGAATCTGTGCCATTATATTTTAGTAATTGTCTTGTACCATATTCCAGAGTGGACAGGAGACATCATGACCTGGTAATGTTGCTTTTGTTGATTAGAAGGTTGTGTATTTGTGTGGATTGCATGTGTATGCTTTCTATCAACTAATGAGTTCCTGCGGTTTGAGTCTTGCTAGTGAAAATTGTGGCCCAAATTTCCAATTCTGATGTTAAATATTTCCTGCAGGATGAAACTGGGGATCGTAAAAATGTCGCAAAATTTTCTCAAGTGTGGAATGCATTTATCATTTGTTTGCGCAAAGAGGATCTTATTAACAACAGGTTCAGTTGTTAGCCACGATGTTGATATTTCATACATGTTGTTATTGTGGGATTTCATTTTTGTATTAATTTGTGACTACTCCTTCCCAGGGAGATGGATCTGTTGCTTGTACCATATTCCTCAGGCGATATACCTGTTGTCCAGTGGCCTCCTTTCTTGCTAGCTAGTAAGGTGATGCTTTCTACAACACCATGAGCATATTATCCTTTTCATGGCTTTACATTCAGTTACTTCATTAAATTGTTCTTAAATATGGGTCTCTATTGATTTCATATCAGATACCCATAGCACTGGATATGGCCAAGGATTTTAGTGGGAAGGAAGACACAGAGCTATTTAAAAAGTTCGATTCTGATCCTTACATGCATTCTGCTGTGATAGAATGCTACGAGACATTGAAGGATATACTGTATCGTCTTGTAGTTGAAGATGAAGATGGAAGGTAAGGAAGAATACATTTCGACTATATTAGTTAAACCTATCTCTTGTTTTCTCGCAAAGCCTTATGGAAGCATGTCTTGCTGCTGCAACGATGTCGTGTTTTAGGGATTGCATAGATTTTACACTTATGATGATGCTAATCACATGGAGCTCCTACTTTTGCTGACTACTTCCCAGGGTTATAAGGCGGATATCTGAGGCAGTTGATACTAGTATTGTGAATAGTACTTTTTTGATTGATTTTCAGATGAGTGGACTGCCTGAACTTAGCAATAAGTTGGAGAAGCTTCTAGTCAATCTGGTACTTTATCTCATGTTCTCTTAATTCGCTAGTAGATAGCGTAGGACCAATGAGGAAGAGTGCACATATATTTACGGTCAATTTCACGATGCATGGGCTGATTGTTCTGGCAGAAAAGTGAACGATGGCACAAAGGAGAATCTGAAGATTTTGAAAAATTCAAGGCGCAAACCATTAATCTCATTCAAGACATTATGGAGATAATTACACGTGACATAATGACCAAGGAGCATGCGTAGGGGCACTTTACTTCATTGCGACTCTTACATTTGATTTGGAAGTTTAATCTCCTTTTTTAATGACTTCTTCATGGTTGACTTTCTAGGGTTATGGAAGGAGTTGAAACAAGCACAAAACAGAAGTTCACTATGATCAACTTTCACCTTACACAAGACAGAGTTTGGATGGAGAAGGTTCTTGTCTTCCAGTGGTTTTTACTCAGTGATTTCAACTTGGACTTGGGTTGGGACTCGCCTGGGTCCTGGGGTTAGCAGCTCAACTCGGTTGAGTCTCTGTGAAAATTACCCAGAAGTGTTTATGATCCTGTGAGACTTGGGCGAGTCTCAGGGTTTTGGAACTAGAGTCACCACCCTGCCAGGTCTGAGTGACTTGGGCAAGTCTGAGCCTGAGTCATGCTTTAAATTACTGGTTTAACTTGATTTATTTCTTCATGTTGTGATGGCTTATTTTTTATTTTTGTATCAGGTTTTTAGGCTCCATTTGCTTCTGACGGTCAAGGAATCTGCAATAAATGTTCCTATGAATTTGGATGCTCGCCGTCGCATTACATTTTTTGCTAATTCTTTATTTATGAAGATGCCAAAAGCACCTCAAGTTCGTAATATGTTGTCTTTCAGGTTAGCTTTCCAACTTGCCCTCTTGGCTATCATGCATACTTTGGCATCTTAGAAGTTAGAATATGAACTTCATTCTCTTGAACACATTGCAGTGTCATTGTTTTGATATCCGTTTTATAGTGTTAAAGACTTGTACTCCTTAGAATGTTGGAATTGAGGTTTCCTAGCCTACTACTAGATTAAAGCAGTACTCTTGTTCTATTTCTGTTGTGCTCAGATTTTGACTATGTTTTCCCCAATACATGACCATCTCTTATGTTATCATCCTGCTCTTTACAAGTTCGTGACCTGTATGTGTGAACACAGTGGCTAGGGCAGAGTAATCTTTTGATTAGTGGTAAGCCTGATTCTCGTGTAAGGAGTAAGGAGAGCCTATCTTTCTAAAAGATGATACATGGAGTGGTCAAAAGTGATCTCAGCCACTGAATAGCTGTCTGTTCTGACATCATCCCTCTTATGTTTTTCTTCATATGATTTACTTGTATGCAATTGCTCTTGTAGTGGGGATGAACAACTTGCTCCTCTGTTTTCTCAAAACTAAAATCACAATATAAGGTGTGTGAGGGGAGCATTTTAAGGAAAATCACACCTTACTCCGCCTTTAAGGAAAGTCTGGGGTTTGAGGGCGGCATTTTATTTTACATCGTAAGGAAGAAAAGGGAAACAAATCAACTCTCTTTGGTATATGTGTCTCTTACATTGTGCAAATTGTGATTTGATTGAGGGTAAGACCCTTGATATAGCGAAATGGTGGAACAAAATTCGTGTAGACGATCCCTAGAAAATCTTATCATTGCTTGGAGCCAATCAGCTCCCATGTACTGCCTGCTCCAATATTTAATTATTTGAGGTGCTATAGCTACTGCAGTTTCCTGTCATGCATACTGTGTTCTTGCACCACAATACTGCCCAATGAATGTTTTCTATTTGTTGTGTTCAATGTATTTTGTCTCTGCTTTGTATTACTTGTGCTTGAATACTCACATACTTGTGCATGAATGAAACTCACCTACGATTGTGTTTTAAATGGAATATACTGATTTTTTTATATATGAAGTTTCATCACATCTTTGGGAATGCATGTTCTCAATGTGTTGCTGCTTTTGACTTCTTTTCCTTTATACTATACTTTTTCCTTTCAGTGTTTTGACCCCATATTATAAGGAGGATGTTCTCTATTCTGAGAATGAACTTAACAAAGAAAACGAAGATGGAATATCCATTTTGTTCTATCTGCAAAAAATATACCCTGGTAACTTTCACAATAACCTTGATCTTTTCTGAAGTGTTCAGTTATTGCATCTTTTCTAATAGTTCTGACTTTCACATTATAGACGAATGGAAAAACTTCTTGGAACGCATAGGAGCAAGTGATGATGATCTTAGTGGTCACATGGAGCAAGTTTCTCATTGGGTTTCTTATCGTGGCCAGACTCTTACTAGAACTGGTCTGCGTAACTATTTCTTGTTGCTTCATATAACTAGGTTATGTGTTATTTCTTCCCGTTTATGATTTGACTGAATTTTCTTTCATGTCTCACTTCCACTAGTGAGGGGGATGATGTATTATAGGCAAGCACTAGAACTTCAATGCTTCCTTGATACTGCAGAGGATCATGGTAAAATCCTTTTACTGTTATATTTGAGTTTTCAGTGGTTTCCAGATTAATTGCTTATGTTATGATTGATGCATATTTTTTGTTACTTCTTGCCAAATAGGGTGTGGTTAATTAGCAGCTGAATAATCCATTCAAACATAGTCCATCATAATGCCGGTCATTAAAATTTTAACTACTTGTTATTGGCCAGATCTTGTAGGGAGCTATAGGTCAGGCATGCTAGACATGAAATATCATGCTCAGCAGGCTTTGGTGGATAAAGCACAGGCTGTGGCTGATATAAAGTTCACTTATGTTGTTTCTTGTCAAGTGTACGGTGTACAGAAGAAATCTGAGGGTCGAGACCGTAACTGTTACCTGAACATATTAAATCTTATGTTGAAGTAAGTTCGTGAAATAATTATGATTTTTCCACTTGTTTTTCTTTCACGACTGTTATTTCAATTGATGGCTATATTATTGCCCTGTGAATAATGTCAGATATCCATCACTCCGTGTTGCTTACATAGATGAGAGAGAAGAAAAAGTGAATGAAGAATTAGTCAAAATATATTATTCTGTTCTTGTTAAAGGAGGAGAGAAGTTAGATGAGGTAAACCACTATTGCATCTTTTGAGTTATTTTGTTAGTACGTTTTTTTTTTTTTAAAGTTGATGCAATGTATGCGGAGCAATATGGACGACTTCACATAATTTTTTAAACGTAAGTGTGTGGAAAATAGATGAGATTCTTAAATGAAACCTAGCAAAACTCAATGCAAATAAAATGAAGTCTAATAATGTATGGCTTGACTTTTGTTATGGCATCAATTTTGTTGGTTTGTAAAAATGTAAAATTCCAACTTGCACTTAAAAAAACTACCGCCAATCCCTTGGCCCCCCCACAAAAAAAAGAAGAAAGAAACATTACCCTTAAAATCTGATATTTTAGGTTCTTGGTTTTTACTCGAACTTGGTGGGTATTCATTTACAAAATAAACGCTAAGAATATTCTCTCTGGAGACACATTTAGGTATTTATCTCAATTTTAGGTAGTTGTGAAACGCTATGATGATGATCATGATCTCAATTTTAGGTAATTATGAATCATTTAGAATAAAAATATGCAATGCCATCATATGGTGTCCTTAAGGCAATGTTATTGTTTTTCATGTATATGCTTTACTAATCTTTTTCTGCCATTCCTCAAGAATGATTGTCATTCAATTTGTTCCTCGAAAAAAATAACTGCTAAGTACCATCAATATGAGTGATCTAAGCATATGACTGAAATCTGGCAAAGTTTATTTATGTTTATGATGATCTTTATCCCTCACAAATGTGATATATGTGAACTGAAGATGCATCCTTTGCTTCTAGAATGTGGAGAAGATGACATCCTTTGCTTCTAGGAACATTTTAAACTGGTAGAACAAATAGCATGCTCTCACCTTTCTCAGTTATTTAATTCATATTGGTAGGAGATATATCGTATCAAGCTACCTGGTCCTCCAACAGTTATTGGTGAAGGGAAGCCAGAGAACCAAAATCATGCCATAATATTCACTCGTGGAGAAGCACTTCAGACCATAGACATGAATCAGGTATGCTCTAGTGATTAGCTTTTATTTTTATGATAAATGTAGGAAAACCTTCTGAGGGAAAATTAGTAACTCGTAGAGTAAGAGATGCTCCACTATGGGTGTAACACATGAACAAGAGAGGAGCAAGTATGAACAAGAGAGGAAGAACAATCAGCACATCAATTTTTATAGTATACTTTGTTTGAAAGTGCATTGCCTTATGTTTCATTCTAACAGGATAATTATTTGGAAGAAGCTTTTAAAATGAGAAATGTGCTAGAGGAGTTTCAGAGAACCCGTGGGCGCCAACCTCCAACAATCTTGGGGCTCAGGGAGCATATCTTTACTGGAAGGTGGAATGTTATGATTTAATCATCATATTCATTGTCAGCAATGAGTGATAATTAGTGAAAACTTTTATATGTTTCTTCTTTGCCGAATTCTCTTTCAATAGCTTAATGTTTACATGCACAAACAGGAGACTATGTGCTGAGTTCTAATGATAGTTCCTTTGTTCTTTCCCCGATTATTTACGAATTTACTTTATGTTCTAATGATGATCATTCGTTTGAATGTCCTTTGCAGTGTCTCCTCACTTGCATGGTTTATGTCCAATCAAGAGACTAGTTTTGTGACCATTGGGCAACGTGTATTGGCAAACCCTCTCAAGTGCGTAAAATTTTTCTTAGTACTGATGTCCTTTAATTTACAAAACTCTTGTATATCATATTATCAACTTTCAAACTTCTATCACTGTTGTCAAGCATTTAGCAATATTTGGGTTGAGATTTGGATTTTGACGAGATTACTCTAGGGATTTTGCTGACTTGGATAGTAAAGAGCGGTGCTATGTATTGTAACAAATTACGGTGCCATAATGGAATTCTGTTGTTGTTCTTGACATTATTGGTGCATTCATTCTTGAATTTTGACAACCAAACTTCCATTTGACTTTGAATATGCTGACTTCAGTTAATGCATTTATATTAGAAAAGTGTATCAGTCATTGTATTTCATAGTGATTTGTCAAAGCTGACAATACTGCATATTTGAATCTGTTTGATGAAAATATCTTCAGTGACAAATCTGTATTGTCTTATCATTCTGTTCATGTCTTCTGCATGATTATGAGAATGATGAGTTCTAATGTGAGACAAGAACTTTGATTTTGCATTATTCAACCTTTCCATCTAATTTCTTCATATTTTACAAGCTTTTGTTGACTAATGATGGATACCATGGTAGGCAAGGTCATTGCATTGGTTTATGGTGGTTGATGGTGATTTGCTAAACTGTGATATTTGTATAATGTTAAACTATTAGCAACATCAAAGTGAATGCTGGAGAATTGCAGAGAACTCTAGTCTTATATGTCAATATAGATAACTGAGTGTTTCTGTGGTTGGAAGAGGGCAAGTACAGGTCCAATATTACAAGTCGGGCATGGAACCAAATGAAAGGAATGTCATGAAGGATGGATCCATTAAGCAGTGAGTGCTAAATGAATCTTTCTGCCCAAATTTTTTATGTTCTTTTGACCAGCAAGCTCCATTACCTTTTAAGAAACGATCAATCTTTGATAAATGGAACTTTAGGATAACATGGATCAACTCAGGACAAATCTACAGTATATTCAGGAGCGAATTCAGTCTCACGTGCCTTTGTAAAACAATTTCAAATCATACTTGAGATGCCCGGAAGGATAAATCATTCATCAACTGAATCCATGTTACACTGCCTCACTTGAATATCGAAATATGGCACAAAGCATAGCACATCAACCACCACTTGAATAACGTACAATGTGTGCAAACAAATTCTGTGAAGAAACTGAAACGAGTGGCTATGTAGAACTCAAAGTATTAAAATCAAATTTTTTTTATTCAATATACTTGAATTCTACTTACATGGGCCACTATACCCTGCTGTAAATTAATTTTAAAACCCTAAATACAACCTAGGATATTTATTTTTACTGTCTAAGTAAATAAAAACCATCCAAGGAATAAACGATCTTCCATTATAGTTTTGAGTACAATATATGTTCCTGAAAATTCACAGAAAAATATGAAATATGATTGAAGATTAATTAAATCTACTGGGAAGATTTACTAGAAGCTATCTGGAGTTATCGCCACAGGTCTTGAAACACCCCACACCCTGTTTCCTGACCGATGACGCACTTTTGTCCCTTTTCATCTTGTTGGAATTTCAGAGATGGGAAGCTTTCACAGGCAATACATTTTTCTCTAGGGTTTTAGATAGCTCAAAAAAACTTAACTAGGGTTGTAGGAATCCTTAGGACCAAATTAGGGCTGGGCTTGAAGGCATAGAATCCTCCTATGGCTAGGCATACCCCTTTTTCTTCTCCAAACAGCAGATAATTAGGGTTTCAATGTGGCACCTTGTCTTATCAAATTTTGGGTGGCATGACCCGTTTTAGAAGGGAGGAGAGTGAAAATGAATTTTAGTGAGAGAGTGAGAGAGATTTAGTGTATGGAGGAGAGAGAAAAATGTGTGTTGAGAGAGGGAGGTTCAATGGTGTTTGAATAAAAAGAATTCTTTCTCCTATTTGGATTAGAAGTCCTTCCTTAGGTATTGCTTATCCAATGACACAACTTGACCAATAGGAACTTACGAAATCTATAGGGTGAGAGAACAAATTTGTGCCATCCATATCACAAATCAGTGTTCATGATTTTAGAATGATTATTAAGAACCTTATCTCCTTATAATTTGACCCAAGTCTAACTTCTATTTAAATTAAAGTAATAACTAATAAAAAAATTTCCAATATCTTTCCAAAATAGGTAGGAAGTCAAAATATTAAAGTTTTCGTCAACCAAACTCCTAATTAAAACAATCTTTTAATATTTAAAAGATCCCTTGAAATAACTTTTAACAAAAAAGAGATCACATAGATGGAAAAAAGAGGGTACGTCATCCAAGAGGGAGATTAAATGCTCCCCACAATGGCCCATGTCCCACCCATGGGTGGCACACTTGTGGGGCTGGACCCTAGGCCCCACATGTGCCTTTCCAAATTTTTAAAATTACAAAAATGCCTTTTGAATGATTTTATAGCAAAAATAAATTTTTAAAATTTGTAAAAATTATAAAAATATTTCTACTACCAAAATAAAATATTTTAGAACTGTACTGGTACTAATAGGTCAAAATTAGCGATAATAAAGACACTCCACTTGACTCAAGAACCATGAACCACTACTATTTTCTCATTCAACCCAACAAAGATCCATGACCTACAGTCTCAAGGCTCTCATATGTTGGACAATAAACAATGAAACTATCATCCTGGAATGTGGATTTTAGTTCCTCCTTTAAGAGCAAGTCTAGCATTTGTCACCACAATGCAAAGGGAGCTCTCTATGCACATGTACATGTGTCCCTCTATAGGGCTGCTCTCCAATAATGCGACTGTCATATGTACATGTTGTACGGAAGCTTGTTGAGGCTTTGGCCCTTTCTCTCACTGGCCTACAATCGCACACAAGAGAACACACATTTCTCCCAGCCTACAAATATCATCCATAGGCATCTCTTCGACCTCAACAAGGGATGACTCACTGTAAACCATTCTCGGTAGCGCCACATGCCTAGGGGTAAGGGTTTTAGATATAACCAAGGCCATAAACTACCTAACCCATTGTCTCTAGGCTTTAAGGGCCACAAAAACCAACAGAAACTTTGGGTTGCTCCACTTTTCGACTTTCCTCACTTCCAATAGGAAACAAGTTTTTAATAACTTGGAACTCGCTCATCCCTAAAGTTATGTCAACTCAAGATTCAAAGGCTGATTAGAAGCTTCGGGTTGTTACTTTGGTGCTAAATTCGACCCTATAATTGTTCCTCATATATGTTGGGCAACATAATTCTTGGCTTGGATTATTTAATGTGCATACAAAGAGAAGTGAGAGTGCGTTCGCCTGAGACTTGATGAATGGTCTGAGGGGAACTAGTCAGATGTGAACGACTAGTTAAGAGTACTTCCACATGCAAATGCTTGTACAATTAAGTTCATCCCACATCATAGGCATGAGGGACAGAGAGAAAGAGAGCCTTATTTTTTTTGGTCGGGGGGGAGGGGTGGGGAGGGGGGGGGTGTATTCAAGATACATATATTTTGTCAAATTGGATAATTAAGTGAGTAATCATCGTCGTCATCATCATCACCGAGCCTTATCCCCTACTATTTACGATCTGCTACATGAATCCTATTATGCCATTCTGCTCTAATTAAGTGCTTGATATATTCATTTAATTACTATGTAGCACTCAGTTAAAATACATCTGTAAATAATAAAAGACAGAGAACAGGGAAGGAAAAAAATGAAGAGATCAAGTGCTCAATGAGAGAGAAAATGAGGAAGGAAGAGAACATTGAAAAGGGAAGAAAGAGAGAAGGTGATGTTAGGTCCCTTTTGACCTCCAGCACTTCTCATATAGTTGTATTAATTATAAAAGATTTACTTGCTGCACTAGAATGTCCTTTTATGGAAAAAAGGACTAAGTCCTTAAAGACTTTTTTTTTGGTGAGCAGTCCTTGGAGACTTAAATATAATATAATGATGCCTAAGCCTTCGATAATCACTCTTACAATACTCCCCCTCAAGATGGTGCATAGGTATCAATCATGCTCAACCTGCTTAAGATAACTTATAGTTAATGCTTACCAACAACTTTTGTTAGAGTATCTACTAGTTGATCTTCTGTCTTCACATAAGGAAGACAAATTTCTTTGGTAGCAACGTTTTCTCAAATAAAATATCGGTCTACCTTGATATGCTTGGTTTGATCTTGCTGAACAAGACTGTGAGCTGCACTAATAGCTTCCTTGTTATCACGGTATACCGACATTGTTCCCTTCACAGGGAAACAAAGTTCTCATAATAAGATTCTTAACCACAACAACTTACATGTACCATGGGCCATGGAACGATACTCCGCTTCTGCACTTGATCGAGCTACAACTGATCGATTTTTACTCCTCAAAGTGACTAGGTTACCCCCAACTAGAGTTCAACAACATGATGTAGGTCTTTGATCCATAACACATCTAGCTCAATGCGTGTTTATGTACGCCTCAACTCGTAGATGCCCATGATCCGCAAACAACAATCCTCTACCTGGTGATGATTTCAATATCTAAGAACTCTTTAAGCAGCTTCAAGATGAGTAGTTCTAAGAACATGCATGAACTGACTGATCATGCTCACAGGATGTGCATTATCTAGATATAAGTTAAAGATATATCAATCTACCTACCAACCTTTGGAAAATACCTACATCTTAAGTGCTTCACCCTTTTTGTTATCGAGCTCGTGATTTTGTTATGTAGGAGTGTCAACAAGTTTTGCACCAAGCTTCCATGTTTCCTCAAGTCGATCCAACACATACTTCCTTTGACAGATAAAGATTCCTTTATTAGACTTGGCAACTACTATCCCAAGAAAATACTTCAATGGGCAAATATCTTTAATCTCAAATTCCCTTGCCATAAAGCTCTTAGAGCTTTGGAATTTCTTTAAGACAATGCCCTGTTACAATAAGATCATCTACATTCACAATCTGGGCAGTGGTACTGACCTTAGTATGTTTCACAAATAGAGTATGATCAACATGGCTCTGAGTGTGTCCAACTCTTTGTTCCACACCACTAAACCTTTCAAACCATGTATGGGCGACTGCTTTAGTTCATAAATGACCTTTTTCGATCTACACACTTTCTCCTCATTTCCAGGAGCCCTAAATCCAGGTGGAGGTAATATGTATGCTTCTTCCTGCAAAACCCTGTGAATGAATGCCTTCTTGACATCTAATTGGTTCAACGGCCACTCCATATTAGCTGCCAGAGATAGAAGGACCTGAATAGACTTCATCTTGGCCATAGGAGTGAAGGTCTCTTGATAGTCTATTCCATAAATTTTATTAAACCCCTTAGCAACTAATTGTGCCTTGTATTTTTCAATTGTACCATCAGCCTTGTGTTTTACCGTGTAAGCCCAATTGCAAGAAAACCATCTTATCCTCCTTAGAAGGATCTGCTAAGTCCGCAAGTACCATTCTTCATTAGAGCCCTCATCTCCTCTCGCATAGCCTCTTTCCACTTGGGATGAGCTAAGGCTTCAGTAACACTAGAAGGAATAGAAATAAAGGATATAGAAGACACAGAAGCATGATAAGAAGGGGACAAGGACTCATATGAAACACATTCACTAATTGGGTTTGCTGTGCAAGTCTGTCTTCCTTTGCTCACAACAATAGGCTAATCGGAATCATCACACTGGGGTTCGGGAGTATTACCCTGGATTGGAGGTATACAATTGGCATGGAGGCCTGTCAGCTATAATACTCTCCACTTCCTTCTGTTTTCGCCAAGTATAGATTTTCGGTTCCTTCTTTTCAACACCATGAGAATGCACCCCACTGTCATCCTGGGTTCCAAATTCAAAAACAAGGATAGGAAGTG